AGTGTTTACCCCCTCGGGGCCGGCCCAGCCAATGGCGCTGTAAAATCTGCAAAGGGCCGGCAAGGCTTGGCGACGCGAGTGACGCCAGGCGGGCCCGTGTGCGTTCTGACCCAGATATGTCGGCCGAGGTGGGGCTGGCTCGGAGTCTCGGTCTACCGCCGCCTCATTCCGAGGACTTTTCCGTCGCTCTGTCTCTCTCGCACTCATGGGGGCGCCCCGTGAGTGCGAGAGAGACAGAGCGGCGGGACGGTCGTTCGGAATCAGACGGCAAGATCCGGATCCGTCCCACCTGTCGGACGAACGGCGTGTGGCCGCGTACGTGTCCCGGACTCCGTGGCCCGACGCGCACACTGAAAAACCAAACGTGGTCCAGACCGCACCACTGGTGTGGTCAGATGGGTGCCATTTTGGCCACATCAGTTGGTGTGGTCTAGACCGCGTTTGGCCACGTTTGGTGCGGTCTAGACCACGTTTGGTCTTTCAGTGCAGGCAGGCAGGCAGCCAGGCAGGCAGCCAGACCGGCAGACAGGCCGGAAGACGACACCCAAAGTGCGGCACACTTATCGGGGCGGGGGAATGTCCCGCATTTAGACGAGACGCGCTTAGTGTGGAGTAGCTCCAGAGCCCCCACCTCCCAGCATGGTGTCATGCCAACGAGGAAACTCCACACTCCACGCTTGAAAAGTGAGGGCATTACAAACTTTCGAGTGCGGAGAATGCACGTTCCACACCTCCGCATTTCAATTGTAGAGCTCCCCACACTTGGTTTGACAGTGTGCACGTGGTGCTGGCGTGCTACGCGGCGACGCACTGTGTGGACTCGGTGGCCCCGGCTCGTCCCGGAAGACTGCTCTGTCCAGAGTCCGGCAACACAGGGCCAACCAGGCCAGCACACTGATTACGAGAGTCGTTTTCGTCCTGCAGTCTCTCTCGCAGTCATTGGGCGTCCTGTTGAAATGTGAGAGAGACGGAGCGACGAAAACGACTCTCGGAATCAGTCTGCAGTGAGGCAGCAGTGGCATAGAGAGAGAGAGAGAGAGAGAGAGAGAGAGAGAGAGAGAGAGAGAGAGAGAGAGAGAGAGAGAGAGAGAGAGAGAGAGAGAGAGACCCGGGTGCGGATGCCACGACGGCCCGGCCTCTCCGCCCAGTGGCCCTGCAGAGGTCTGGAGGTCCGAAGGTCTGCCGAGGCCCCGACTTATCTCTTACAGTTCCGTTCCCCCTTTATTTAACGAGGTTTCGCAGGGACGGCCAGTTAGGCCTGCCGCGCCTCGACACACAAGGGCCGTGGCTCTGTCTCTCTCGCACTCATGGGGCGTCCCGTAGGTAGGCCTGGGCGATTGTTGGTTGTAATCGTAATCGGCCGATGAATAAAATAATCGCGATTGGTGTCGATTAGCAGTTCGGTAATCGGTAATCGAAAACGTACACGATTAATCGAAAATCAACGATTAATCGGGGGAAACCGATTATTTGGAAATTGGCAAACAAAGGTTAATACTCGTACTATTGTGAAAATAGCATGTAATAAGAGGATAAGAAAACCATTGGCGCAACCTCGAGTGTCTGAGACAGCTTTTTCGTGCGTTAACTGAAAACTTTTCAAGACTTTTCCGCTCAGAATTTGAACAGGTGATGCATAGAATATCCGATAATGAGACGATTAATCGATAATCGATCATCGTTAAATAATCGGTCAATCCTTCGATTACCGAACCACTAATCGGGGGTTTGAAATAATCGGACGATTAACAAAATAATCGCGATTATTTTCGATTATTCGATTAATCGCCCAGGCCTACCCGTAGGGGTGCGTGAGGGACAGAGAGCGATGTTTGGAATCACCCGCAGCGCAGCGCCTTGCAAAGACGCCCTTTGCCGGGTCAGCTTGGGCTTGGCCTCATCTCCCTGCTGCAGAAGCAGACTGATTCCGGGCGTCGTTTCGGTCGCTCTGTCTCTCTCGCACCTACACGGGACGCCGCATGAGTGCGAGAGAGACAGAGCGACGACTCTCGGAATCGGTCTGCTGTGGCCGCCCCTCCCTGGGGTCGGCTTCTTTTACGCCCGGAAAGGCGAGACCGCGCGATACGGCGGGTCGTTCTCCGGCCGCCAGCGCCAGGGCGTTGCCTGGCGTCGCCACACGTCGCTCTGTCTCTCTCGCTCGCATGGGGCGTCCCGTGTAGGTGCGAGGGAGACAGAGCGAACAGTCAGCCACGAACGGCTCGGACGGCATGCAGTGACCTTGCTTCATGCCATCCATCCATCTATCCATCCATCCACAGTGGTTGGATACGGGAAATACCCAAGAGGGTAAATTAAACCATCCCAACGTGTGATGAATCATGCACCCGGGACAAGGGGGAAATCACTCTTAAAAACTGTGACCCGACTACTCCCTATTACGTTCTATTACGCTATTACAGAAGGCTTATTACGCTCGAAAATACCCAGAATTAGACTAAAATAGGACCGTAAATAGGGAAAACTTTAAAAAATTTTGCTATTACGGTATTACTATTACGCGTAATACTAGGAATCGGTGACCCGACTATTACGCGAGTGATTTCCCCCTCGACCCGGGATGTGCCTGTGTGCTTGCCTGGCACGATCGGTGGATGGAATGTCAAGCCAGACGCTGCAAACTGCTCTCCGTATGCTATTACTAGGGCCTGGCCGTCAGGTAATGGGCTTCTGCGAGCAGCTTGCTCGAGCAGCCGCCTAACAATAGCCGGTCTATCTCCATCACGTCCTCAATGGGGAATATCAGAATAATACCGGCGGCCGCGCGCCGTATGGCGAGGCGCAGGCACACTGCATTGTGCCCATTTCCCTCAAACGCAGCAGTAATCAGTCTGACTCTGGCTGCACTGCCAAACACTTCCTGGTGCGGAGTCACTGTCCGCACTTGGACGAGTGGCGTTGGCACACTGTGGCAAAAAGCTACAGAAAATTCTGTAAACAGCTTGTGGTAATTCTCCGTAGCCCCCTTATCAATATTCTCCGTAGGCTCTTACAGTATTTTCCGTAGGACCGCACAGTATTCTCCGTAAGACCTTACAGTGATCTCCGTAGTCTTCCAGGTCCTACGGAGAAGACTGTGCGGACTTACAGAGAATACTGTACGGCCCTACGGCGAATACTGTTAGAGCCTACGGAGAATATTGATAAGAGGGCTACGGAGAATCCTGGCAAAAAAATTAACAGAATTTTCCGTACCTTTTTGCCACAGTGCAGTCACAAAGTGTGGAGCCCCTGTCTCTTGGCATGATGCAAACGTGGCGAACTCCACACTTGAAGTGTGGAGACTGTGCTGCACTTCCCCCTTCCCCCCATCCACCCATCTATCCATCCATCCATCCATCCATCCATCCATCCATCCATCCATCCATCCATCCATCCATCCATCCATCCATCCCAGCCGCCCCAAATCCCCCTAAGTGGAAATTAACGAGACAAATTTACTCTCTCCGCGAGCTTACCAGCAGCGCGCCTCCAATAACAGTCCACCCCTCCCCCCCCTTCCCCTCCAGGCGGCGCCTGGGACGTCCCCGGCCGGAGCGCTTTATTCCACTGTGTAGTCGAAATTGCCTGCGGCGCGTGATCCGAAGGATCGTTGCGTCGCTCTGTCTCTCTCGCACTCACGGGCACTCACGGGCTCTCACGGCGGCGCCCCGTGAGTGCGAGAGAGACAGAGCGACGCAGAGCGACGCACAATGGGGCAGAAGACCGGTGGAGGCGGCCAAAACTCCAGACGCGTTTTGAACTCCAGAGTCGCTAAATGGGACTCGAACCGAACGTGTGACCCCACCAATGGATTCCTCGTTCGAAGAGCAATCCATTGGTGGGGTCACACGCTCGGTTCGAGTCCCATTTAGCGACTCTGGAGCTCAAAACGCGTCTAGAGTTTTGGCCGCCTGGCCCACTGTGCGACGATCCTTCCGCAGTGAGGCGGCCCATCGGTGGCGGCGCGATGCGGGACACGTACGCGGGGACGCGGACGACACTCCAAGGGGGTGGCGGTGCCGTGGCGGTGCCGTGGCGCCACGCAAGGATTGAATTTCGGCCAGATCGCGCCGCCCTCGCCGCCCTCGCCGCCGCCAAAGCTCCGGAACGATAGCCGCGGCCGCAGAACGAAGCAGACCGACATACTACGTAAATTGTAAACAAAAATCTACACCGCAGAACGAAGCAGGGCGACATACTTCTTAAATTGTAAAAAATCTACACCGCTGCGCTTTTTACGGAGGTTGAATGCCAACGACTCTTGCACACTGCACCCTTAAAAGTCGTTTCTTGAACCAAAACAATACAACTCGCAAAAAGTGGATTTACTTTTATGTTTCAAGTATGTAAAGGACAATGGTTCAGGTAAGTGAAGAATTGTTTCACGTAAGTATTTCAAGTAAGTAAAGAAATGTTTCAAGTTGGTACAGTAATGTTCCAAGTAAGTAAAGTAATGTTCCAAGTAGGTAAAGTAATGTTCCAAGAAAGTAAAAGTAATGTTCCAAGTAAGTTAAGTATCCAAGTTAGTAAAGTAATGTCCCAAGTAAGTAAAGTAAAGTATCCAAGTAAGTAAAGTTATATTTCAAGTAAGTAGAAATGTTTCAAGTAAGCAAAGTTTCGTTGCTCAAGTAAGTAATGTTTCGTTGTTCAAGTGAGTAATGTTTCGTTGTTCAAGTAAGTAATGTTTCGTTGTTCAAGTGAGTAATGTTTTGTAGTAAGTAATGTTTCGATGTTCAAGTGAGTAATGTTTCGTTGTTCAAGTGAGTAATGTTTCGTTGTTCAAGTAAGTAATGTTTCGTTGTTCAAGAAACGACTATTTTAGGAGTGTCCGAAATGTGAAAAAAGGAAGCAATCGGACGGCGACCGCGACACGACCCGTCAGCGTGAATGCCGCATTTCATTTCGCCGGCTCAGGGAGCTCCGCTGCTCCACTGTAAGCCGCGCCCTAAGCCACGGCCTTGGTACTTTTGGTTCCTCTCCGGTGCCCTTTTGAAACTCACCTGACTTGCCGACGCCTCCCTGCCCCAGGACCATGACTTTCATGGGCTTCTGCCGCGAGCAGAGGCCAATCTTGCACAGGGAGGAGATGGGCGATGTGGAGGACAGCGACATGGCGCGAGCTAGGCTGACGCCCGGCTGGAACCAGGCGGACTGCGACGGTGACGACAGGGCGACGAGTAGAACCGCAGTCTGGAGCGGCCTGGAGAGACGTGGAGGGTGGCCTGGAGAGGCGCGGACAGGGCTGGGGGGGCCTAGATAGTCGGCTGGAGAGGCCTAGATAGTCGGCCGGAGAGGCCTAGATAGTCGACCGGAGAGGCCTAGATAGTCGGCTGGACAGCCTAGATAGTCGGCTAGAAAGGCCAGTCGGCCGGAGTGGAGATGCCTAGATAGTCGGCTGGACAGCCTAGATAGTCGGCTAGAAAGGCCTAGACAGTCGGCCGGAGTGGAGAGGCCTAGATAGTCAGCTTGACAGCCTAGATAGTCGGCTGAAGAGGCCTAGATATTTGGCTGGAGATGCTCAAGATAGTCAGCTGGAGAGGACTAGATAGTCGGCTTGACAGGCCTAGATGACAGCCTGGAGAGTTGGCTGGAGAGGCCTAGATAGTAGCCTTGACAAGGCTGGGAGGGCCTGAATAGTGGCCTGAAGAAGCCTGTAGTAGGCTGAGGAGGCCTGGATACTGGCCTGGAAAAGGTTGGGGAGGACTAGATATGGCAGCCTGGAAATGGCTGGAGGGGACTAGATAGTAAATAATAAATAGTAGCATGGAAAAGGCTGGAGGGGACTAGATAGTAGCCTGGAAAAGGCTGGAGGGGACTAGAAAGTAGCCTGGAAAAGGCTGGAGGGGACTAAATAGTAGCCTGGAAAAGGCTGGAGAGGCCTAGATAGTAGCCTGGGGAAGGCTGGAGAGGCCTGGATAGTAGCCTAGAGAGGCCTGGATAGTAGCCTGGGGAAGGCTGGAGAGGCCTTGATAGTAGCCTGTTGCAGGCTGGAGAGGCCTGGATAGTAGCCTGAAGTAGCCTGGGGAGGCCTAGATAGTAGCCTGGGGAAGGCTGGAGATGCCTGGGTAGTGGCCCAAAGAAGTTTGGGGAGGCCTAGATAGAGGCCTTGAGAGTGGTTTGGAGAGTGGCCTGGAGAATAGCCTCGAAAAAGGCGTGAAAAAGCCTGGAGAAGGCAGGGGAAGCCTAGGGCAGCATGGAAAAGGCTAGAGAAGCTAAGGGCAGCCTGGAGAAGGCTGGAGAGGCGAGAAGAAAGGCCTAGAGAGTGGTTTTGGAGGCCTGAAGAAACCAGGAGAGTGCTTAATAGAGGCCAGGAGAGAAGAATGGAGAAGCCTAGAGACTGGCCTGGAGAGACCTAGAGTGTGGCATAGGGAAGCGTATAGATAGTGGCGTAGAGAAGCCTAGAGAGTGGCCTGGAGAGACCGGGTGAGTGGCATAGAAAAGCATAGAGAGAGTGGCATAGAAAAGCATAGAGAGAATGGTATAGGAAGCCTAGAGAGTGACCTGCAGAGATCCGAAGAGTGGCATTAAAAAGCACACGGAGAGTAGCGTAGAGAAGCCTACAAAGTGTTCTGGAGAGACCTTGAGAGTGGCAAAGGAAAGCATAGAGAAGCCTAGAGAGCGAGGGGGTGACGACCTCTGCAATCCGGCTTACAACAAATTGGTAATCCGTTATCCGAATGGCCAGAAATTTTGAGGTAATCCGGAAAGTTTTGATGAAATCCGGAGCAATCCTGCGTGGGTTCAAGCTAATCCAGGAAAAAATTGAATCTAATCTGGAGGTAATCCGCGGGTGGTTCAGGTAACCCGAAATCCGGCTGACACGAAATTTACTAATCGTTACCCCCTCGCTATAGAGTGCTGGAGAGAAGTGGAGAGTGGCATAGAGATGCATAGACAGATTGGTATAGAGAAGCCTAGAGAGTGGCCTGTCCAGATCCAGAGAGTGGCATAGGAAAGTATGGAGAGAGCACAGAGACGCCTATAGAGTGTCCTGGGGAGACCTGGAGGACGGCATAGAGAAGAAGAGGCATATACAGAATGGTATAGAGAAGCCTAGAGAGTGGCCTGTGCAGACCCAGAGAGTGGCAGAGAAAAGCATAGTGATGGTGGCATCGAAAAGTCTAGAGAGAGTGGCCTGTGGAGGGATGTCTGGGGGCGCCTGGAGTGTCCTGCAACAGTACAGATAAGACAAACATTAGCATATTCGTGTTTTCACTCGTGTAAATCTTGTCAGAACGTCAGAAACCTGTCTGAAAACCTGATCGAAGTTCGCGCACCTCTGAAAGCTGAAAACACCTACTCCTGGCAGTCTGTATAACTCAAACCATCAGTATCAGAGTAAGTTTTCAGAATTTCAGCTTTCAGAGGTGCGCGAATTTTGATCAGGATTGCAGACATGTTTCTGACATTCTGACAAAATTTACACGAGTGTTACTTCTAATTTTTGGCCCGTCCCGTTTATTTTTTGAAAAAAAAAAAATGACGGAGGGACGGGCATAAATATAGTATGATCCCTGCTGTGCGTCCGTCCGTTCGTCCGTCCGTTCGTTCGTTCGTCCGTCCGAGGACTTCCCGTGGTCCGATCTTGACCAAATTTGGTATGCAGCCTCCTTGGGTGACCCTAAGAACCGCCCGGTGGCAGCAAATCCGATCCGAGCCCCGGGGGCGCTGCTGCAGGTGCATCATGGTCTACATGGGGTTGAAGGGGATTTCGGCAACGGATACAGCTAGCAGGGCATGTAGGGGTATTTTTGGAATCAGAGCGACGAGAAATAACAGGAAAAGTAGCGATATTCATCGGCAACTTTGGCCCGTCCCGTACATTAAGAAACGTACGAATTTCGCCTATGTTTGACCCTGACGGGAATTAAACCTGAGTCTGGGGTTAAAATAAATGTAGTTTTCGTCATCAGCACCCTCAAGGACATCAGAAACAATGCAAAAACTCGAATAAAAAGAATGTTCAAAAATACCCCGCTGGGATTTGAACCCGGGTCCGAACTTCTCCGATTCGCTCGAAACTGGCACCATTGGTTTTTTCTCGTCGCCCCGATTCCAAAAATACCCCTACATGCCCTTCTAGCTGCATCCGTTGCCGAGATCCTCCTCGACCCCATGTAGACCATGATGCACCTGCAGCAGCGCCCCCGGGGCTCGGATCGGATTTGCTGCCACCGGGCGGTTCTAAGGGTCACCCAAGGAGGCTGCATACCAAATTTGGTCAAGATCGGACCACGGGAAGTCCTCGGACGGACGAACGGACGAACGGACGAACGGACGGACGGACGCACAGCAGGCATCATACTATATGCCCGTCCCTCCGTCATTTTTTTAAAAAAAAATGAACGGGACGGGCCAAAAACCAACGGTGCCAGTTTCAAGTGAATCGGAGAAGTTTGGACCCGGGTTCAAATCCCAGTGGGGTATATTTGGAACATTCTTTTTACTCGAGTTTTTGCATTGTTTCTGATGTTTTTGAGGGTGCTGATGACGAAAATAACACAAATTTGGACCCCAGACTGAGGTTTAAATACCGTTAGGGTTAAACATTAGCGAAATTCACACATTTCTAACTGTACGGGACGGGCCAAAGTTGCCGATGTATATCGCTACTTTTCCTGTTATTTCAGCCAGGAGCAAGCTTGGGCGCAGCTATCGCCGTTTTCGCACCAGGCTAAGAATGCGTTTTCAGAACAAACACAACCGACATTCGTAAGACAATGCACACAATTTGTAAAAGTAAAAGTTGTTGAGTGTGTGCACGTTGCACCGCCGCCGCCGCTGCTGCGTCACACGGCGCGGTGGCAGAGCAGGGGAGGGCAGACCAGGGCAGGCTCACTCTGTCCCTCTCGCACTCATGGAGTGTGCCGTGGTACGAGTGGGTGCGAGAGAGAAAGAGCGAGGTTGCCGGAATCGCTCGACAGATGCAAATCCAGCGTCAGAGGGAGGGAGCCAACGTGTTTCTCTCCCTTCAGGCGACTATCTCTCCAGGTGTCAAGATGTGAGGTGGGTTTGGACGTAAAATTCGTCCCTTTCGCACCTTTTGGCGCGCGGCCTCGAGCAGAGCCGGGCAGCCCGTGTCTGACAGCCAGGTGCAGCTTATCGAGGCAAACGCGGCCCCCGTCACGTTATCGTGCCTCGCTCCCTCCCCTCCCCCTCCCCTTCTTCCTTCCCCTCCCCCCTGCTCCCCTCGTCCACCTCCGATCGTAGTCAATTAGCAGTCCGAATCATGAAAATGAGATAGCGCGCGCCCAGCGACCGAGAGTCGTTTTTCATCGCTCTGTCTCTCTCGCACTCACGGGGCGTCCCGCACAGGTGCGAGAGAGACAGAGCGACTCGAAGCGACTCTCGGCACCAGCCCGCACCAGCCGCGTCGGACGTGACAGTCGGAAGCTGGAAGCAGAAGTGAATTGGAATCTCTCTTTGCTAATTGGCTTCGTTTCCCCGTTTTCCCCGCATTTTTTTCCCTCCCTTCCTTTCCGCGTCCCGATGCAGTCATGATGGGGCGCGTGGGCAGCGACGGTGCAGCAGCAGACTGATTCCGAGAGTCGCTTTCGTCGCTCTGTCTCTCTCGCACTCATGGGGCGTCCCGTCTAGGTGCGAGAGAGACAGAGCGACGACAACGACTCTCGGAATCAGTCTGCAGTGGGGCAGCAATGGCATAAGTAGCCCGATTCCATATCCGTCGCTCTGTCTCTCTCGCACCCTACGAGTGCGAGAGAGAGAGAGGGGGGGAGGGGAAAACGACTCTCGTAATCAGTCCGCTGCGACAGGGGGATGGAAACGAAAAGGGGCGGCGGGGAAGGGAGGAAAAGAGGGGAAGTGGTGGGGGGGGGGGGCTACATGAGTGCCTGCGTGCCTGCGTCAGAACGGCCGTCCTAGGGGCCAGCATCGCGGAGCGGGCCATGTCGAGCCCCGGCATCGTGTCAGCTCGTTTGACGCGTTGGACGGCGCTCTGGCGGCCCGGCGGCTTATTTACATACCGTGGGCGATTCAGCGCGGTATGAGAATTATGGCGGTCGGAGCATCCCCGCTTTACGGGACATGTGATTTGGCCACTATTCTAGTGGACTCTCATGTACCACACACCCAATGTGTCCTTAAATTTCAATTTGAAGTCATTTCCGATAAAAGTATCAAAACGACTTGAAATTGTAAGGATTAGAAAAAAAATTCTGTTGAAATGTAAAGATAATTAATATTTTCTTATTAACTGACTTAAAGGGATAGTGCAACAAGCTGCAATCCAATTAGTATGTCCTTCTAGACTAATTTTTTTTTGGGAGGAAGGGTGGAAACTCAAGTTTGGTTTTGAAAGGAGTGATGAGAGAAACGACTAAATTTGTGACGTTAAACTTAACAGATCAGAAACCTCGAGGAATATAGTGGTTCTGTATAAAAATTTGAGTTTCATCTTCTCTGATTTAGAGGGAGTTGCGGATTTCCTAAGAAAAAGTTTTCAAAAGTTAGCGACAAGTTAATGTTAATTAACTGTTCAAAAGTTAGCAAAACGTTTACGTTAACTAACTTGTCGTAAAGGTTGGAAAAAAGTTCCCAATTTTTTTAAACCATGTATGATAATATTTAATAGGCAGAAATGTTTTTCAACTTCTTTGTAGGTGCACGATAAGTGTACACCACACTACTTTGATATTGCTGAAAGTGATCAACACCTAAAAATTTTATAAGTTAAAACTTTTTATTTTTCTTGATCTCAACGACCATTAACAATATCAAAATAGTCCTGCTTACACTTGGAGTTCTCCGAAAGACAAGTTTAAAAACATTTTATGTTCAATCATGTTCAATCAATGTTCAATTATGTTCACCTAATGGTTACTTTAAAAATGAGGCTCGCAAGATCTTTTGACAAGTCAGTTTACGGAAACTTGTCGCTTTCATTTGATCTCTCTCATAGAGGATATCCTCACTTCCAAGAAAGTGGAGCTGCAATTTTGGAGCAGTACATCTAAATTATTCATAGTTAACGGACCATTAAAGGGATAAAAGGTCATATTTTGACCACCAACAGGCTTAACACCCCTTAAAATGAACATGTAAAGATGTGTTGATTTTTCATTGATCTAAAATATCTTTCTTTTTAAAAAAGGTTTTTTATTTGTTGCATCCTACATTATGCTAATCTGATGGCTACATCAAGTATCTTCACAGCAATATCATTTGAACAGAAAATTGTGTTTGTATGATCAAGATCATTTTAGAGTCTTTTTAAGTTATTTCTGGAAATGTATTTCATTTGCGTTTTGAGGACTCAGCAGCATTCTTGACACACGCTAGTGTCTACTGCACGGAAGAAGTGGCTATCACCTGTCCTACCTTCCGTGTACAAGTCCCCTGGAGCGGGAATGCTCCGATCGCCATAATTCTCATACCGCGCTGAATCGCCCACGGTATGTAAATAAGCGGCCCGGCGAGCGCCGCCGTCACTGCAGCGCATTGCAAACTGACAAGTGACAACACGGGGAGGGGGAAAAAGTACAGAAAAAAAAATAAGGAACGAGTGACGACAGCAATTAATTTGCCCGGATCGTCCGTACCTGCCACCTACACGAGTGCAAATAAAACATGCACGGACGTCGACGGTCCGCGTGCTTTTTTTGCACTCTGTCGTGCTATATTCTTCTGTACGTACACTTGACGGACAAAAGTATACGTCATTTTTTGTACAGCGCGAAGATGGGCCGGCGCCGCACAGTGGGCCAGAAGACCGGTGGAGGCGGCCAAAACTCTAGACACGTTTTGAGCTCCAGAGTAGCTGAATGGGACTCGAACCGAACGAGTGACCCCCACCAATGGATTCCTCGTTCGGAGAGCAATCCATTGGTGGGGTCTCATGCCCGGTTCAAGTCCTGTTCAGCGACTCTGGAGCTCAAAACGCGTCCGGAGTTTTGGCCGCCGCCACCGGTCCTCTGGCCCACTGTGCGCCGCAGTGTAACCAAGAAAAACTCCATCCACACTCGAAATGCGGGGGTATGGAATTTTCAGTCTGAGAAGTGGACGGGGCTCATGTCCTGTATGCCGAATTGCAGAGTCTCCACACTTCCAGTGTGGGACTCTCCACGTTTGCATCATTCCAAAAGGTGGATCCTCTATAGCTACTCCACACTTGAAGGGTGGAGACTGCGAACTCAACACGTTCAAGAGTGGA